TTAGAGGAATCCAATGTTCGACTTATCTTCTAAGCACCGTCGTTTCAATTACAGACAGTCGACACAGATGAGGATGTCAAAGTCAGTTAGGATCCCAAAATCCACTAATCTGAAGTCGATGTGGAAATCTACTGCATTCAATATATGAAACGAGATTCGGACTTGTAGTACCACATGATCTACTGGTCAATGCTTTCATGTGGTTCAAAGACATGGCGGACGCGTCACGAAGAGTATTTCCAACAGGCTAGCTGCTACCTTGACGTGGTGGTCGGGTTTGCATATCGCAATGACCCAATGAGCTACACTGGCTGGAACTTATGTTCCTGTAGGTCCTAGCATGCCAGAAAGGTTGTTTGGATAGCGGTTAGACAAAAAGCAGCTACCCAATCCTACACTATGATTCAAACAAATCCACAATATATCATGCCGGATCGGTTGGGGCCCGGATTAACAACGACCGCGTTTCCTGATGCCGTGTCAAAGGGCAGAAGTGATAAATATGCTACTGAGACACACCAAACGAAAAAGAACAAACAAAAACCGGCAGCGTGTGACCGGCCTCAAGCAGTTGTCCCCTGGGCTCTGCGGTCACGCAACACTAACCTTTTCTCTATTTCAGGTACCCGAAGACTCAATCAACTTCCACGGTGTGGGCAGCCAGGAAGTAACAACCACCCACACACTTCCAAAAGCACACGAAGCCCACCTGGGCTAGTACAGACTTTTATCAAAATTTGCCTCCTTCGTTGGCTCTATACTGAAGATCAGATGACTAGCAAGAAGAGGATTAGCAATAGAGAACTCTGGGAACGAATCAGCCCAAAACATGCCGAAGGTATTGGGAATGGATTGGACATGATTTTAAGAGATCGTGACATCCCGCTCCAGGGAAACCCTCATGTGGATCTTTAAAGATGACATAGAGGAGTTTTCTATCTCACTGAAGGCAAATTTCTTCAGAAGGTGACATCATTTAGAGGATCACATTCAAAGTAGTAAGGAAGCATTGAACATTTGTTTCGAGTTAGTCTGTAGCTTTTGAGCAGTACACATTCATACTGCACCGTGAATATAACTCAACAATTATCTATTTTTGTCAAATTAGGAAAGACCAACCCCATGAAGTTTCCCTTTTTCTCATTAAAGGTTTATCATTCACATATCGCCTTAACCAAAATTATTGCAATCCGATACTTTCGCTCACTGTAGGAATTGTAGCATTCATACAGAATGAAAATATGCGTCATTATCTGCCATAATCTGTGTGTATAAACATTTGATTGCATAACTAGGAAAATAAGGTCATCGTAAAGAGAGTTTTTACTCTGCTAAATTCTACTCATTTTATGCCTCGATTTTCTATTTCATTCTTTGGCGTCCTGAGTTCAAAATATAGGGCTTAAAACTTGAGTTTCGAAGTTTCGCTAGAGGTAATGTTTTCTTCCATGGAACTAGATTTAGGAGTGCAGCGTTTGGGAGTTGGACCCAGGACAATGTGTGGAGTAGTTGGTAAGCATTCTCTACCAGTTAACCTTCAATGCACGTATACCTTTATGGGAACTAGTTATTCGTTACATATTGGAGGACAAACAGAAGATTAACTTCACTTTGAGAATTTTTCCATGTGTATGACCCTTTGCTCAACGTTTATCAACCAAAATAGTTAGTAATCTTCAGGCCAACGAACAAAAACCATTCAGTTCTCCATGTACCCAGAGTCAAAACTCATAAACGGTACGACTCTGTGTCAAGTTTTAGTCTTGGATGGGATAATAATAATAATAACAGCTTTATTCCAAACAGTATTTGTGGTACAGGTATGGAATTTTCAGCGTGCATTACAATATTGCATCTAATTACCTCATAAATTTTATAAGATTTTAAAAATAAAAAGCAACAACAAAAGGAAAAAAGAGAAATAAAAGAAATAAAGAAGAACAGCATTGCATTCATATTTTAAACAATGCACCACAGGATATGAAATAGAAAATTAGTGTGTAATAGAATAAGTGAGCAACAATATAATAGTAACAAAGAAAGGAGAACAAAAACTAATAGGAACTGTTTGTTAGAGTGCTGCAGTAAGTTGATCGTGTCATACCTAACAATTTTCTCATCACATAACAGCTGTGCCAGATAAGATATTGTGGAGTTTTTGTACTTGGTAGTTCTAGCATATAGCCTCCTATAGTTGCTTCTAGTTCTACCAGATGAAATGCAAGGAGAGAGCTGCGTATTGAGAGGATGCTCGGGGTCTGACAATATGGAATTCGCTAGTTTCTTACGTGACATTATATGTCTATCCCCAATTGTGTTAACCAGTTGGTTTCACGAAATCCCACTAGCCCTACTAACAGCTTTTAGTGCCCTATGCAGCGAAGCAAAGTCTTTCTTAAGTAGTCCAGGAAAGATTAATGGGGAGCAGTAAAGAGGGATGGGTAGAATACAGGAATTGACAAACTGAGAAAGCAAAGACTGCTTTATACCAGACTGCCTAAACTTCCTAACGTAGAACGTTAAGCGAAACATCTTTCTAGTAACTAGCAAAATGTGAGAGGACCAGGAAAGATCGGAGGAAATACTCAGTCCAAGGTACTTGGCATTTGATGTAGTTTCAACCTCTATGCCGTCAATGATAGTGGGACCATGTGAGCTAGCTAGTTGTTGAAGGTCACTTTTTCGTCTGAAAGTAAAATTTACTACCTGACATTTAGACGGATTCAGCTTAAGACCGTTTGAAGAGGACCACTGACTAATTTCCGAGAGAAAGTTATTTAGTATGGAACAGTCTGACTGAGAGTTGACAGGCATGGAGACAGGGAGGTCATCAGCGTACTTGACAAAAGTTGCTACATCAGAATGGGGCAAGTCATGTAAGAAAAAAGAAAACAGAAAAGGAGAAAGAACAGCACCTTGAGGAACACCAGCTAAAGTAAGTGAGGTAGTGGAGGACTTTCCATTGTAGACTGTGTACTGCTTCCTATCAGAAAAGTAGGAATACAACCACTTATTTATCCAGCTCTCACTCTGTGTTGCAGCAAGCTTACTTAACAAGAGAAACCTAGGTACAGAGTCAAATGCAGATGTGTAATCGAGAAAGGCACACCTAACGTATTTAGCTCCTCTATCTAAACTAGAGACTATATTATGATATAGAACAACAGCGGCATCTAAGGTACACCTACTATGTTTATAGGCAAACTGGTTGGGGTCATTAAAAGGCTCTAAAGAGGGTTCAAGATTAAGTAAAATAAGTCTTTCCATAATTTTTAAAAAAGGTGAGGTAATAGCAATGGGTCTAAACTTGACAGTAGGTCCACTTGTTGATTTGGGCACTGGAACAACCTTGATATTTTTCCATGAGTCAGGAATAATACTTTTGGAAAAAGATTCATTGAAAATGTCGGTTAATGGGTAACATAAGATGTCAGCACACTTCATAAGGATAACAGCAGGAACTCCATCAGGACCAAGGGACTGGGTAGGTTTGAGAGACTGGAGACACTTGAGGACATCATTCGTGTTAAAACATGAGAAGCAGTCATTATTTATACTATTAGATTTGGGAATCATAACATCTGCAGGGATACATATGAAGGATTTATTAAGCATATCAACATCAACAGAAGTATCATTTATTATTTGCTTACCACCTGTGATTTCCTTTAATAGCTTCCACATATTAGATGAGGATTTACATGAAAGAAACTTCTGGTTATAGAGAGCATTTAATCTTTGTAATTCGGCTTTAATTAAAGTGTTCATTCTCTTAACGCCAGATTTATTTCTCATTTTGTACAACCTCTCTTTTTCACGGCGAAGCTTCTAGATTCGACAGAATGTCGAACTAATGATCGTTGGGAAGTTTCAGAAGACCTTTAGTTCACATAATTTATCAGTACATATCTCAACAGTCTACTCTGTTACACCTGTGTCTGAGAAATCCACTAAAATTCAATTACTGACTGACTGGTTTCAATATAGAACTTTGCATAGAAGTGCAGCACTTCGAGTTACCACTCTCCCTCCATGTACCACACAAAGCAAAAGAAGAGAGTAAAGAGAGATTCAAAAGAGAGATAAATAACAGAAATGTGTGATGGGAAAAGAATGGTCATATGGAAGAACAGTACACCTTCATTGAATATGGAAAAATCACAAAGAGTGAATGCGTCTGAGCCAGCCATATCGTCAGTTGTCTCCAGCCTTCATTGGTTCTCAACGTTCCGAGTACCTCGACCAGCGATGAAGTGTACACCTCCCTACGTGGCTGGCTGGTCGGCTTAAACTAACTGTTATGGATTTCACTAACTGATGAAGCCATTTTTTAGTTAGACCACCATGTGCTAGCTCTTTTCCGATGTGATTTATCCTTTGTCAGTCACCTAGCATTGCCCATCGACGAAGCCGATGGATAGCTAGGCATGCGTAAAACATTTCCTAACCATCTCAATCGATGTAACCTCACAACCTCCTCGATTGATTTTTCCTCCCACATACCTACTTTACTGACTCTATTACACGGCCTAACACGGGAGATAGAACGCAGACGCCTAGGCGAGGAGTTTCATATCTCCCACTTTCAATCAACAGTCATGTTTTACAGCCATAAAGGAGGACAGAGCGAACTAATGGTGTGCAGTACACACGTCCTTTGATCGACGGATCAGACGGATATGAGGTCTACTCTTAACAGATGGTGCAAGTTGGGAAGTGCCGAATGAGCCTTCTGTATTCGTGCTGAGATTTCCCTTAAATAAACAAAAAATTGTGAGTTGCAGGAACGGACTCAAAGTTTTGGGGAACCACTGAGAAGCTGTTTCCTCCCAGTTGGCGACTCTTCAACAGTACGCCTTCATAGCCTTATGACCAATGTTCCCTTACTTATGTTCGTTAGTGATGAAAAGTGCCCCCCCTCCACAAAACACAAGTACAACGCATGAAAATTAATGAAGGGACTGAAATAAAACAAAGAAAAAAACAAATCATGAACCAACCCTTCTTGAATTGACTGGTCTTCGACGTCTAATATTCAACGGCATAACTAGTTCATCAGTATTACTCTCTGAATGTACATCAGGAAATGTTGATTCACAAGTCATTATGCCTTCTTTATTATAATTATTATTATTGTGAATTGTAGTAGTAGACGGGAAAGCAGAAGAGAATGACGGAGATGGCGTTGGCAGCTTTTTACCCAGACTATGCATAAAAGAATCCGTTGTCGGCATACGATAACAATAATAATCCATGAATGGTTGCTCCGGCACTGTAGACTGTTGTTGTCTCTGTCTAATGTAATCGCTTTCAAACTCTAGAGGATAATTAATTCCATACTGGGTATAACGTCTTCTATCCATAGGTCGAATTCTTGACATATGTCCCGTGGTAGTTGATTTATCCAAAGACGTAGTCCCTAGACGTACTTCACTTCTGTTGACATTAGAATTTTCCAAATTAAGCATTCCTGGATGTCGTGATAGAGAATCTGACCTCCGAGGAACCAGAGGTTGTTGATACTGGTAGTATGAAGGTAAAGTGGACTTCTGTTGGAAGTAATTACCTCTGTGATTCATTGTTATCTCACCCATCTGACTGTTTTGTTGATTCAACATTCCGACGGACTTTAACTGATCTAAAGATTGTAGACTTACAGCTGACTGTAGACGTGAATTACCCGCCATAGGATAAACTGGAGGTGCGTAGACATTGGGATAAGTTCCATTGACAAGTTGATTAGACGGTATTCCATACTTTGAAATATGATTAAAATTATTCTGCATTTGTTGGTGTTGTTGTTGCTGGTGTTGCTGTTGGCGTTGTGGAGGTGGCAGTGATGACCGTTGAAATTGATGCCAATCCTGATTCGGGATCATATCACCTTTATTGTTGCATAATTTTCCTCCAGTAGAATGGTTCATTCTTGTCGCCATCATCGGCGTTGATGGACATTGAGGTGGATTCGCATTTTGTGTGCATGCAGGAAACAATAATTTTCGACATCTTGGTGGTGACAGGGTATTGTAAGTCATTGGAAGTGTTGACACTTCTGAAGACAAAGGTATACAACCATCTTTAAAACGTCGTTTAGACATATATTGAAATTGACTCGGTTGTCGTGTCGGTGGTTGTAGTGGCGGTGATATTTCTGATGAGGGTGTTAGACGAAGAGGAACCTCCTCTCTATTCTCTTTCTCTCGCTCTTCTTCTTCTCTTGCCGTCTGATGATAATTATCAGCGAATTGAGGAGGAGGCGGTGGCAATGTTGGCGGTGGGGTTATTGATTTTGAAGAACACTGAGAACTGTTATTATTATTATTATTAATAGTAGTAATAGTAGTATTGTTAATTGGATATAGTAGTTGATTCCGACTGCAGGGATTATGACTTGCACTGCGTCGACGTGTCACTACTCCTGTCGTCTTTAATGGAGGGATTTGAGCATAATTTGAAGACATATATGGCGGTAGGATGACAATATTGTCATTTAGTTTTGGAGTAGTCATTCTTCTACTACTGATATTATCACTGTTAGTAGTATTTATTTGAGTAGTAGTAGTAGTAGTGGTTGCCGATGGTAGACTAGAATTAACTCCCCAGACAAGTGAACGACGACGAACACGAGGATCCAATGGTTCAGTGGATACAGAAGTTAGCGAATAAAAATTCGGATATAGAGCATCCATCATCAGTGAGGAGAAGTCATATACGCTGACACACACTCACGTACACGCCCACGTACACACTCTACTCAAGAGAGATCAACTAATCCAAGTACTGTGAATATTCCACTTGTGAAATTCGATTTTTCATCGTCCTTCTTTATTGTTGTTGTTTTTAAAAGAGTATTCAATCGTCTGATTGATAATTGAAAAACTAAGGTATTATGGTGAAATAGTTGCTTTGCCTTTTTTTTCCTTCTAGATAGATAGATGAATGACAGACACATGCCTGTGTCGGTGGTGTACATTTTCTTCGGCACTTTTCCATCTGTCTGTCTGTTTATCTATCTATGTGTCTCCGCGTATGCATGTAACATTCTTGTTATTGGTGTGTAATACCCTTGTAATCACAACTGCATTTTTGTAGTTTAAGTATTTCGAAAAAGATGCCTACCGACTGACAGAGTTTAATTCCATCTATACCCAACCCCCTCCCGCCCACTCACTCACCCACCCACGCACACACACATACAAACAGACACAGACATACAGACATTCATTTATCCCAAAATGTATTCCCAATTTAGTCGTGTATTCCAGCACTATGGTGTGTGTACAGACACCTATCGATGTACGCACACAAACACACATTTTTGTGCAAAAACCGGATGGTTAAGTTCACTATATTGATTATTTTTCGCCTTGTGAGTGTTATTCAGATAGTGGAAGAGATTGTTTTTCTTACAGAAAGAATTAGGAAAGTGGAGTGATGATGGTGATGATGCAAATTTGAAGTTTAAAAAAACAACAACTGTCTCAGGATGTCTGTTGTGTGAATGTCTGCCGGTGTACGTGTGCGTGTGTTCGTGTCTTCCACAGGTTGGTATGTAAGGCGTACATATACATTCTGGGTAGTTAACACTATTGTTAGTTTCTTGTAGAATATTTATTTACTTGTATTGTAATTGTAACAATATTTACGTAACACATACATTGCATTATCGATTAATTTTAGTTACCATCATTTTACAATCTAGTACCTTTAATATTCCACATATTCGGACAAAAATATTTTGGCCTTAGTGGAGAAAAAGAGATGAACTGACTCTATCCCTGGATAGATAGATCACAGATGCATTCTTATTTCCTGGGGAGAAAGCAGTATACTGTATATCAGGGGAAGTCGTGTGCTTCATTGCTTACTGAGGCTGACGTCCCTCAACGTGCCGTCCTTTATCCTTTTCTGTTTTCTTTCTTCTTGCATGGCTTACCTCACTCTGATGAAATGAACTTTTTTAAGTATGCGGACGATCTTACTCTTTCAATGCCTGTTGACTCCCAGCTAAACTGTACTGAGATGAACAGCTTTCTATCAGAAGTAAGCAAATGGTCTTTGTCTAATGGTCTTGAACTAAATCCTTCCAAATATTGGACTTTTAATTTCAATTTCAGATGTAAAAGAGGGATAAATGAAGCTGTTAATTCCTATGGCCGTTGTAAAATTGATGATACTGACATAGAAATCAAGTCATACATTAAGTATCCTGGACTAATTCTTTCTTCTGATCTATCCTGGTCTTCTCACGTCTTAGCGATTTATAATAAGGCACTCGGGCATAACTCAACCAACCCATCCTCCAATTACAGTTTGTCAACTCTCGCATCTTACCTATTCTTCTTTATTGTTCACCCCTACTTATTCCTTCCTGCGTTACTTAAAAAAGCACCATGTCATAGCTCGTGGAACTCTAAAGACTGTGAGTAGGGCGAGTGGTGTCCCATTGGGCCATATCGTTGACATAGTCATTGGTAGGCAATTAATTTTATGCAGTAAATTTACTGAAGGAATATTTTCAGACTGTGAACACCCACTTTGCCCACAGCTTTCAGCTTGGATCTCCTCCTTCTCAGGTAAAACACCAAGTCATTTCAAAAGACTTTACGCGTGCACGTCTAAGTATAGAAATTCCACGATACCATATTTGATGGCGTGTATTTTATGTGGTGAAGGTAGTGTCAGGCACGGCTTAACTAACTAACCTTCTTTCCACTGGTAAACAAACCATTTTCTACACCCTTATACCAACAAGTCTTACTGTTATTAGTCCTCCCAATTTTTTC